AGCAAAACCATGTCGCCGACCTGGAACTCCAACTCAGATCAACGCTTGTCGGCATAACTCTTCTATCAAGTCCGAGCTGTCTGTAGTCTCTGTCTAATTTGCAGAATAAGTTATGTCGTCTGAAGGACCATCTCATTCCTTCCCATGACTCTGTGACCGACATCTCCCCAACAAACTGGGTTACGACACTTCCTCCCATATAGAAGATCAAAAGGTGGTGCACCAATATTGGAGTGGTAGTTGTTCTTGTACGAAAAATTAGCTAGGGGAAGGCAGGAGTCCCAACTCCCACCAAAATATATGAAACAAGCTATCAACATGTCCTAAAGTGTCTGAATCGTCCGTTCATTCTGAACCTCAGTCTGCGGATGATAAGTAGTTCTAAGAACCAACCTCGTACCCAGTTCCTCATGGAACTTCTACCAGAAACGAGATGTGAACCGAACATCTTGATTAGATATAATGGAGACTGGAATACCATGCCGAGCAACAATCTTGCACACATGTAAATCGGCCAATATCTGGGCGAAGAACTCTCTCAAATGGATAGAAAGTGGGCGCTCTTGGTCAGACGGTCCACTATAACCCATAACGCATCAAAACCCTTAACTGTCCGAGTTAACTTGGTGATGAAATCCATGGTAATATGTTCCCATTTCCACATGGGAACCTCCAACAACAGCAACTTGCCATGTGGCTTCTGGTGCTCGGCCTTGACCACCTGACAGGTCAAGCACCTCTCGACATACGAAGCTATCTCCCTCTTCATGCACGACCACCAATAGCTAAGCCTCATATTCCGATACATCTTGGTGGCTCCAAGGTGTATCCAAAACCCGGACTTATGCGACTCCTCCAGCACAGGCTGCCTGATCCTACCAAAATATGGCACCCAAAACTGTCCATATCGGGCCAATAATCCACGACTGTCAATAGCAAACCTGCCAATCTCACCCCTGAGTCTCTCCTATTTCCAATTGTCCTTCTTGACTCCCTCAGCCTCAGCCTCCCTAATCAAATCCAACAATGGCAAATCAATTGAAATCCTCATACATAGGCTCTCAATAGTAGAGCTAGCCGTCTTGCAACTGAAAGCATCAACAACCACATTCGCTTTCCCTGAATGATACATAATCTCGCTATCATAATCCTTGACTATGTCAAGCCACCTATGCCGTCTCATATTCATATTTGACTGATCCATGAGATATCTTAAACTCTTGTGATCCGTTTAGATAGTACACCGGACCCCATACATATAATGTCGCCAAATCATGAGGGCAAAACCACCGCCACAACTCCAGATCATGTGTCGGATACCGACCCTCATGCAACTTCAGCTACCTGGAAGCATATGCAATGACTCTCCCTCACTTCATAAGCACCACTCCCAAACTAGTGATGGATGCATCACAATACACAGAAAAATCCTCAACACCCTCAGGGAGGGTCAACATTGGGGCCTCACATAACTTCTGCATCAGTGTCTCGAACGCAACATGTTGCTCAGGCCCCCATCGGAAATCCACGCCCTTTCTCGTGAGATGAGGGAGAGATACCGCAATCTTGGAGAAGTACTGAATAAATCTCCGATAATACCCTGCTAATCCCAAGAAACTCCTGATCTCCGAGGGAGGCTTCGGGACCTCCCACCTTTCGCATACGAGCTCCGTTTTCGACGTTCTTTATATGCACGCGTAGGTAAAATTATACTCTACGACTTTCGTTTAGACTTCGTCGGCTAATTTTGACTTTATTCTTAATATTATTATTTTTAACAGATCGGGACAGAAAATCCGTTAAAAATTCATAACTTCTTTATCCTACGTCCGTTTTCGTCTGTCTTTTTACCGTTGTACTATTTTTGACGAGACCTTCAATTCTCATTTAAGTTGTGTCGGCTAAATATCGATCGGTTTTTATTTCAAACTTTTAGCTGTCTATTACTAAACCGAAACTTAGAAAAATCATAACTTCCTCAAACGAAGTCAGATTTTTACGTTCTTTTTATGAAAGTTCTCGGTTTAACATATTCTACAACTTTCATTTAGATTGTTAAGGCTAAAAAGCCTTTTATCGAAAATTCACATTTTACACTGAATAGTGTTTTGCCGGGTTTGTCGCGGATCTTCGATTGGTCATAACTTCTTCGTTATAACTCGGATTTCAGTGTTCTTTATATTTTTGGAAACGTTGTTACAATCTCTACCACTTTGTTCATCCCAATTATGATTATTGATCAATTTATTAATAAAATGAATTCAAATTAAACATTCTGAATTCAATTCTGATAGAATATAATTTGAATGAAAATATACATGTATTTAATAAGTAATATAATGAATCATGGATTTCATTTAATCTAGATCAAATCTATTATGAATGTGTATATCTTGTTTGTATAGATAACTAAATATATTAAATAACATAACTATTTTTTTCTTATATTTATCTATTTTAGACTGTTAAAACGAATCTTTCTTTTGTTTTACTCTTTATC